TTTAATATTATATCTCCTCCATGCTTCTCTCCACTGCCGAGCTGTGTCCCAGGGTTCCCTCGGCTCCTGCCACAGTGGGCTGTGCCAGAGCTGCTGTGCAGGGATGCAGAACAGGGCCTTGTACCTCTTCCCTCCAGCTGAGCTACCTGCCCAGCCTGCAGAGCTTTTGGGCTCCTTTGAGAGCTACTCTGGGGCATCCCCCTTCTAACCTGGAGGGAAGGGGCATTTCAGGTATGCTGTTAATTAGCAATTTTCATCCTTAGTTGCTAGACATGGTTTCACACTGTCTTTAAGGAGTAAAACCTTCTGTGCATAATGCCTGTCTCCATAACTGAGCTTGGACACTGATGGAACTTCTCCCTAATGCACAGGCTTCCTCTTCCCACTCACCCCCAGCAAAGTGGTCCTTGAAGGACCCCCAAACCCTGCTCTCCACAGCCCAAACTCCTGGATGTGCAGGGGAAGGCATGGGGACCCGGCCATGAGCCACTCCCAGCCTCCCAGCTCCCTGCCTCTTTTCTCTCTGCATCTCCTTGATGCCCCTCTTCCCTCTGCACCCACCCCTCAGCACCCATCTCCGCTCCCCTACACCTTTCCTCCCCATCCCCAGGGACAGCCACCCTCTTCTGCCTGGGGCTGTGCTGCCATGTGCCCCATCAACAAGGATTTGGGAGCCCGTCCATCCCTCCACACCTGGGTAGCACGCAGGCAGATGCCCTGCCAGGATGCAGGGACAAGATCAGTTCAGGTTATGGCACCAGCTCTTGGTGCACAGACATCTCAGGGCTCCCTCTGTTGCCTGCTCTCCCTGGGAGGATGCTCTGCCAGCTCAGCCTGGCAGATCAGGGTCCACCGTGGCTTCAAAGGCTCCTTGCTGACCTTGGTCTTATGGCTGGGGCAGTCCCTTCCTCTGGGGACCCTTGTCCTGGGCACTGAGAGCCTCCCCTGTGCCCTTGGGCTCTGCAAGGTTTCTACCGCTTTTCCCTGCACTGATGCAGGCAGCTGCTGCTGGGAATACAGCCCCAGGCTGCAGAGAGCCACAGGAGCTTCAGGTGAGGGCTGTGGCCTCGGCTCCTGCCGAAATACAGACTTGGAGGCAGTTAATAAGGAACTGCAATAGGAAATGCTGATTAATAAACAGGGAGACCTGTGGAGAAGTGGCAATAACCAAGAGGAGAACAGGAGACAGCCTGAACATTTGCAGACCACAGTAGCACCAATGGGCTTGGGGGTGTTTTATGTACACTATATCTCACACTGGTTTGCTTGCCCCTAATTATGGGGGATTATCTGTTGCTAGCAATGGGGGTGGAGGGTGAGAGGTGGGGAAGGGGTGAGAAAATCCTCCCAGGGGTGATGAGTAGCTCATTTTGTGGTGGAAAATGACCTGGGAGGTAAAGATTTGATATGCACAAGCTTCCAGGTGGGAATACTCTTGGCCAAGGAGTGATAAAAAAGCTTCTGAGCTTTTTGCCTCAGACAGCTCTGATGGAGACAGCCCAGAGAGCAAAGGTCCCCCTCACCCCTGCAGATCTTCAGTGGTACAGAGGTCGGACCTGGCAGTTTCATTCTCTACCTGCAAAGATATCAGCTAGTTTTAAATGCAAACCATAGGCTGATAAAGTGCTTTTGTCAGTTTTACTTGGTGCAAAAGATCTCTTGTGATTTTTTAAACCAAATTCAGGTTTCCTTCCCAAAGCAGCTGAAGAATAGCAGACAACTGGTGCCTGTCTTTTGTGGTAAAACACTAACAGAGTGTACCCAGAACTAAGCACAGCCCAGGATGCATCCCCAGAGGAGCCTGTGCTGGGGACATGGTCGCAGCTGGCCAGTCCTGAGCCACCCTCCCTTGAGCTCACTGCAGAGACGCTGCTGCACCCCCACCCTGTGATTTCCAGACATCCTTTTTACCAAACCTGCAGTGACAAATATTGTGGGTCCAGCTCCACCAGCTACTGGCTTTGGCTACTGATATGATGGGGGAAAGTGCTGGGGGAGATGCCTGGCTCCGCGGCAGCACAGAGGCTGGGAGAGAACAGCCCTGGGACGTGTTGGAGTTGTGATGGGGTTGCTGCTGTTGCAGTGCTGAGAGCAGGAAGGTGGTGCAGCAGGGAGGGGTTTTAGGGCTAAGGGGGCTGAGGCATTTACATTTGGGAAGCTGGTATTCTTCCCCTGCCTCTCCCCACATGGTTGTAGTGGGGTCCTGTCAGTCTGATTTTTCCAGGCAGGAGACGAAGAAGCTGACACAGAGAGAAAAAACATTTAGTCTTTGGTATCAGCAGGAGACAGCATTTTGAAAACAAGGCTGAACAATGTGGTTCCACAATGAGCATCCTGTAAGTAACCAGCATACCACTTCCTCCACTAAGGAGGCAGCTCTTACTCACAGCACCTACCGTACAAAATTCAGCCAGCTGACTTGGAGGTCAGCCTGGGTTTACATGACAGCACTCATACCTAATTTTGACAGACTGCTTCCCACAAATAGCTCTGGGTATAAAATCTAGCAGCAGATGGGGCAGTATAGTCACATGTCACACAGCAGGCTATGCTAAGACAGGACTGCAAAGCCAGGAGGTCCCCAACATCACAGCTGCCCATAAGGGCAGTGGCTAAATTATCAGGTTTCTGACCCAGCTCCAGGACAGATAAGAAACAACCATCACTCAGAGGGGTATCAGTCCTACCGCACAACCAGCATGCTCGAGAAGCCAGACAGATCAGAGGTGTGATCTTCCTTCTCAGTTTGAACTGGTTTGTCTTTACAAGGGCCTATTCACAGAGGAATTTGAGAGTCCTATTTTAAAAGGTGTCACTAACCACGATGTTGTTTTGGAATCAAATGTTCTACAAGGCTGTACAAACGCCATCAGCCCGGGCAGGTGGCAACTGCCTGCTCTCCTATTCCCAGGACAAATGCCAGATTCACTTGTCCCCTCCAGGACTGGAGGTGGGTTCAGCGGTTGTGGGGTTCTGGTATGAGATTAGCTGCTCCACTCTGAAACCCCTCTGGCCTGCTCAGCTCACCCATTCAGTCAAGAATCACTGGATACTACCACTTCTTACCAATTTCCTCCAGAGCAGCCTTTTTGGACGCTGCCACCTCCAACAGCTCCTCTTTCTCTGCCCTGAAGGAGCAGGGCTGAGGCAGAGGCTCTCGCTCTGCAGACACCCCCACCTCCTAAGCTGACTGCTTGCTGCTTCTGCTCCCCAGGAGTGAAATTTGTTTTGCAGTTGCAACCTTTTACACTTCACATTCCCTGGTTTTACCCATCCCAGATCGCTGCCCTTGCCGCCACATCTCCAGGAACACGGTCACCGTCACTGCAGAACCTAAGCACATCAAATCTCTGTTGGGATCATCAGGGGTTTCTATTTCTCTCTTTTCATTTTCCTCAGCACCACTGGCTCTGAACACCTCCTGCGAGTCCCTCAGAGCTTCCTGCGCTGGCTCTCTGCTGAGTCAAAAGATTTTTATAACGTTATTTCGAATTTTCAGGCTTTTTTTATTGACTTCCTCTTTCTTTGGAATTTCCCTTTTGAATTTACTGGCACAAGACGATATCTGGGGTCAGTTTGTATCCCTTTCCCCTCGCTCCTTTCAACCACAGGACATCGGACTGAATCACGCTGGAGGCAGGATTATTTAAGGGTCCCACCAGGTGTCTCACTTCTGTCCCCCTCGAGCCTGTCAGACCCAGCATCCCCCCCCTCCCATGGCTCAGCCAGCAAGATGTCTCTTTGGCCCGTCTCTTCCAATTTCAGCTCAAGGGGACTGCTTTTTCCTTCTGTGAACTGCCCAGTGAGGGCATAGATGTTTATGGCCCAGAAGGTAACAAGCTGTCACTGCTCCCCCTGCTCTGCTCCCGGTGGGATGGGAAGGAGAATGGGAAGTAAAAGGTAAAACCCCATGGGTTGAGACAGGAACAGATGAATGGGACAACACAAGGAGAGAAGAAACAATATTAGGAATGCTAAGAAAAGAATAGGTACGGTGAGTGAGGCACAATACAATTGCCCACCACCCAGATCCTTCCTCCCCCGGCCAGCTCATCCAGTTTATATACTGAGCGTGATGTCCTATGGTATTGACACCCCGACACCCACCTGCCGCCCCAGCCCCTGTCCCACAAACCTGCATCTCCTCACTAAGCAAAGTTGGAACTGGGCGTGTGGGTTTGCTGATGTGCCTGAGCACCGCAGGGCTGAGCCTCCGCGGTGGCCCCGACCCTCGTGTTGGCACTGCGGGTGCCGCCGGCCCGTTACCCCAAGAGGAGCCGGCTCTGGCAGCCCCAGGGGAGACGCTGGTGTCACGGCGTGCTGGGGCGTACTGAGGCACGGACTCAAATCACGGGTGATGCTGAGACGCTCGACTTCAGCACGCTGGCTGCTTGTATACCTTTCGTGCGTTACGGTACTTTCCCACCAAGTTACAGCACTCTCCTACCAGCTGAACACCAGCAGGTGTTCCGCGCTAATCTCGCAGTACTACTGGCAGTCTTCTTGCTTCCTTCTCTCCCAGCAGCAGCCGAAGCTTGTGAGCATTTTTCTCGTAACGAAGCCCATGTTAAAACCAAGGCACAGCACTCTTCTAACTACCAGGAAGAAACACTGACTCTACTTTCGCAGGGTCGACTTGGCCGAGGCCTCCGAGTACTTGTGTTCAGGCTGAGGCCTGCTCCAAGGCCTAGCACGCACTTCCATTTTGTGTCCCCCGACAGCGTGGGGCCGTGCTGGGCGGCAGTGGAGGTTAACACGGGCTGGGGAGGGGGAAGCACCGTGGGAGCTGCTGTGGGGCCCAGGCCGCCCTGGCCAGGGAGGGGAGGAGCGGGGAACCCAGGGCGTGGGGAGGGCAAGTGGGTCCCCGGGGGACCCTTCTCCTGCGTCAGGGCTCCAGCCGGGACTGCAGAGACACCCAAAGGAGTTGATAGCACAAACAGTTTATTTAGGCATCAAGACTTCTGACACTCCATTAACAGACACATTTATATAGTTTAAATTAGTTTAGTTTAAATTATTTTGATATAGTTTAAATTATTTTTGTACTTTCCTTTTTCTTAGTAAAAAATATTTAATTTAACTTAAATAAGTTAAAGAGAATACATTTTCCTGCTGAAGAAGGTTGCAGCTGAAGTCCTGTCTTGTGTGCCCGGGGCTGGGCACCAGGCTCGCCAGGGGAAGCAGCGGGGCCATCGTGGTTGGCCACAGGGAACGGTCAGTTATTCTGAGGCTGGAAGTGCTTGAGGTGTGCCTTCACCCAGGGCACCTGGGGGTCTGCGCACAGCTCCTTCTTCTTCTTGGTGACCAGGCTGCCAGGAGAAAACCCATGTTCATGCGCTCGGCCAGGGCAGCAGGGTGCCTATGCTGGGTCCTGCCTGCAGCACCCTTGGGTATCTGTGTCCCCGTCCCCCTCCCAGCCACCCTTGGGACATAGCCCTTGCCGTTGCAGCCCGCGCCCCCAGCAGCGGTGGGTACTTACATCACCCCTGGCTGGGTGCAGCTGCTGCTGGTGGTGTAGATGGATGCGATGAGAGCCCGCGGGACAGGGCGTTGCTGGTAGCTGAAGCAGCAGGATGTGGGGACGCCGTCTGATGGCAGAGAGACAGATAGACAACCTTCATGAGACCCCTGGTTATAACACAGGCTCTGGCCCCAACAGCTCTTGGCGTTCCCCAGAGATTTGACATTTACCATTCCCTGTCTCATGTCATATTCCCCGGCCATGGCCCCCCTGGAGACCCCTGGCCCCCAGCCCGAGTCCCAGCACTGGCGCTGGTCTCCTGCTGCCAGCCCTGCCCACAGCCACCAGGGTCCCCGCTGACAGGGATGGGTCACCCCGCCTGCCCCGGCAGCTCCCGTGGAGCGATGGCACCCCCAGCCCCGGGGAGGATGCGGCAATGTCAGACTCACCAAGATGTGCCTCGGACAGGGAGCAGGAGGCCACGAGGAAGAGAGTGATGAGGGCAGCCGTGGGGACCTTCATGGTGCTGTGGGGGCCGAGGGATCCGCAAGCAGGGCTGGAGCTGGGGTCTGCAAAGCTCACTGCACGATGCTCAGCCCCAGTGTTGATGCTCTCCTTTTATTCCTGGCTGCTGGGTGGGCACAGTGTTTCAAGGAAAGATAATGAGTGCATCATACCAGGGAAATTATGTCATGATCCCCAAGTTTTGCTGAGCTTGAGAAGGCAAGGAAACCGCAGAAGGGGAAGAGCTGGCCATGTGGCTGTAACTTTCAGATTCCATTTGGGTGCCCAGTGCAGACTGGCCAGAGCTCAATCCCCCACAACACTGATCCTGCCACTTCTGCGGGGATGCCACCAGCCATGAGCCGGGCTGGGGCATGAAGCTGCATGTCCAGAGCCCCAGCGGCAATGCCATGCAGGGAGCTGTGAAGCAACCGCAGCAAGTTCCAGGCAGGGATTTGCTTTGCAACAGCCCCAGCACCATCACTGGTTTGCTGTTCTGCGGACAGAGAGCCCAGCCCACCTCAGAGGTACTTACATCACCCCTGGCTGGGTGCAGCTGCTGCTGGTGGTGTAGATGGATGCGATGAGAGCCCGCGGGACAGGGACCCTGGTGGCTGTGGGCAGGGCTGACTGACCGTACGTATGCACCGATGGCATCTGTTGAGTGTTGGGAAGTCTTTTTTGAGGGCCCTGGACTAGTCAACCTCAGGTGAAGTGTCGGGATGCAGGGTGCTGCGCAAGGTTCCCTGCACTGGAGGGGCTGGAGTCTGGTCCGGTGTCAAGGGAGGGAGATGATGAGCACCTTGTGCAAGCCCACCTCACTCTTCCTCCCTCCCTCTCTCCCCAGAACACAGCCCTGTCCATGTCCCCACGTCCTGCGTGGCTGTGGTGGCAGGTGACACTGGGGACTCTGTCACCCCGCTGCACCCCTCTCCAGCGTCCATGCCTCTGCAGTCGCTGCAGTCCCAGGAGACGGCATCATCTTCCCCCAGGGCAGAGCAGAGCTGGTGGGTTCCTTGTGAGGCACAGGATGTGCAGAGTAGAAGTCTCCAGGGCCTGGGGGAGCAACAGGACCCACTGTCACCAAAGGCCCCCGAGCTGTGTGTGGGGTGCCAGCCCCGGCGCTGTGCTGAGCCCACATCCACCCTGCTCCCGCCGGCAGCCGGGGCTGAGCTGCTGGCACTCACCCTGCCGTGCCGTGCCCATATCCCAGGGAAGCTCCATCCCTGCCCTGAGGAGACGACGAAGGCATCGCCATCTCCTCGCTGGGGCTGCGGGGACCGCAGCCACCGGCACTCACCCATTCACCTCCACATGCTCGCGTCCCTCTGGGCACAGGCACTGGTTGGCGTCGCAGGAGCTGTGCCGCAAGTAATGGCCTGCAAAGGCCCCATCCTCCTCCCAGGCAGCATCCCTGCGGGAGCGGGGGAGCGCTCACCCTGGGGCCGTGGGGGACACCCCGGCGGCACCCGCGCAGGCAGGAGGGCTCAGCTGGAGCATCGCGGAGGGGGAGGCGGCAGCGGGAGGGAGGGCACTGACCTGTCAGGGATCCGGATGCCCAGGCGAAACATCTCTTCCAGGAATTGCTCCCTGTTGCGGCACAGCGGGCAGCAAAAGTAGTGAATGCCGGAGCGCAGCGCCTGTCCCTGGGGCAGAGGTGGCATCAGCATCAGCGCCGGGGGTCCGGTTCACCGCCCTGGAGCTGGGCGACGCGACAACAGGGTGACAGCAGGGGGGACCGCTCCAGGGGCCGGGGGCGATGCCACCTACCTGGATGCAGCCGCGGTGGAACCAGGCGCAGGCGCAGGCGGGACACACCAGGGTGTCGTAGCAGGGCCGCTCCGCCACCCCCTCCTGGCAGATGAGGCAGAGGGTCTGGTCCTGCTGCACCGCCCGCACCCGCTGCACCGGCCGGTGCTTCCAGCAAAAAGACCTGCAGGATGGAGGGGACAGCTTGGCCCCGGGCCCGGGACCCGGCCCCGGCCCCGGCACCGACCCCGGCCCCGGCCCCAACCCCGGCCCCGGCCCCGGCACCAGCCCCGGCCCCGACCCCGCGGGGCAGCCATACTCACTTGAACTGCCCGAAGAACTGGGAGACGCAGCCCCGCTTGCTGCCGCAGGGGAAGTGGAAGATGCGGCAGCAGCGCCGGCCCCGGCAGCGCCGGGCCCGGCAGGTGACCGAGGCGCCCGGCAGCTGGCAGATGTGGCACCTCTGGGGACGGCAGGAAGGACAACGGTGTCAGAGCCACAGGCCCCAGGGAGCCCCGCCGCGTTCTGTGGGGCCGCCCGGCTGGTGACACCGGGCCCCTGATAGATAAGGATGCCCCCCGTACCCTCCAGATCCCCCCCTGCCGCAGGAACGGGCCTTTTTGCGTCATGGGGGATCTGACTTGGGGGTTGCTTGCAGCCGGCTGCCAGAGCAGCGCTGGGGGCTGGGTGGGTGGCTGCTGGCGTGTGCAGTGCCAGGCACGGGGCGTGGGGACACGGTGGGGACACATGGGGACAAGGCCTCACTTTCTGTGCCACCCGCTTCAGCTCCTGGCGGATATCAGGGAAGAGGAAGCCGTAGAAACCCTCTTCGTCGGCCCCTCTCTGCATCAGCCCGCTGGCGTGGTACTGCAAGGGGGTTTTGAAAAGAGGGTGAGTGCCAGGGGCTGCCGGCGGTGCGGGGCTGGGGACCGGAGGGTGTCGGGGACTGGGGGGTGTCGAGCCCCAGGGACTCACCAGGCAGTTCTCGTGGACGCAGAGCCCACCCTTTTGGCACAGCTGGCCAACCATGTCGGCATCACAAGTTGTCCTGCCGGCACAGCCCGCACACTGCCGGGGGACAGAGGCACCGTCACCCCCAGCAGCACGCCGCGGAGCCGGTGGGGGTAATGCTGGGAGCGGGGATGGGGGAGAGGCCGGAGCACCCTGGGACGCTGCGGGGGCCTGTGGCAGCACAGCCGGGCACCGGCCAAAATCCCCTCTGGCCGGTGCCCGGGGGGAAGCTCTGCACTCACCTCTCTCCTTGGAGACGGGACATCTCCTTTTGCGCTTGGGAGGAGCGCAGGAGGGTCTTGCCTGCTCCTCTGGCAGCGCTGGGGGACACCGCTCTGTTGGGCACTCTGACACCCTGCGGCGCCGCGACCTCAGCTCCATGGCCGCAAGTGGCTGCCACGAAGCAGCTGGCTGGGCCTGGGGACCTCGCTCTGGTCGGAGACCGTCCTTGTCCTCCAGTGCCCGTGGCAAACACACCACGGAGCCGGGGGCAGTGGCGTGGGGGCATTTATACAGGCCAGGGTGTTTGTGACATGGCACTGCGTGCGTGCCCGGTCACAAACACGGTCCATCCAGCACGTGCGCAGCCGGGTCACAGATGTTGCCGTGGATGCTGCTGCTCCGGCCTCCCCGTGCTCACTGGAAACATGCCCCAAAGCATTTGTGTTTTCAATTTCTTCTTGTCTTTAAGGAAAGGGTTGACTCAAGTGACAGGCCTGGTATGGTCCAATTTCCCTAAGGCGATTGCCATCCCCAATGCTGCTGCGGTGGGTGGGTGGGCTTTAGGGACTGCGGGAGGGTTTTCCCCGTGAGACAGGGTGATTCCTGGGGACCTGGAGCTCCCCAGTGCGAGCAGGCTCACCCCCATGGGTGCTCATCTGCAGGGTCTGGCCGGGCCTGGACAGCGCTAAACCTCCAAGCATCTCTCCTCCTGCAGCCGCCCCTCTTTAGCCCCTTGATCCATCTGGGGAAAAAACCATAGCACCCCCCCCATACCCTCCCCAAACCCTCCAAAGCCAACCCTTTCTCCTGTTGCCAGCCTGCGCCTGCCTTTCTGCCTGCCTCAATCCGTATCCCAGTGGGCGGGCAGCTGCTCAGGGCATCCTTAAACCCCACAACCAGGACGGGGCTGCTTCTTCATGGGGGGGAGCTGAGCTGGGGGCATCAGCCTCGGCCCTTCGGGTTTCCCTGCCGTCTCAGGAGCTCCTGGTTATTCCTGGGCCCCTGTGGGGACACCAAGCCCTGACGTGACCCTGCTTTTCTCCCACGGGATTTACTTCCTCTCACTCCAGCTGCAGGTCAGAACAGGATATTTTATGAAACTCATCGAGGGTTCTGGGGTAGTGTGGAGAGGGTGACCGAGCATCCCCCCCTCCCTCCCATGGCTCAGCCAGCAAGATGTCTCTTTGGCCCGTCTCTTCCAATTTCAGCTCAAGGGGACTGCTTTTTCCTTCTGTGAACTGCCCAGTAAGAGCATAGATACTTTTGGCCCAGCACATAACAAGCTGGCACATCTTGCTTTGCTTTTAGGACCAAGCCTGGAGTCATGACAACCACTGGCCCTTTACTGTCCTTTTCAGAGAAGGCTCCTTCCTGTGGGCTCCTCAGCCCAATCCTGCTGGGTGTAATTCTGCATGAAGAAGCCTTCTCCTCCCAGGAGAGCTATCGCTTCTGATTCCAAGTGCTCTCTGGTGTGAAAACTACTTTTTACCCCAGGCTCAATGCCTCAGAGCAGTCCCAGGGGTTGGCTCCCCTGTGTGCCCAGAGCCCCTCCAAACAGCCGATGCTTCTACCTCTGAAAATGCCTTGGAGGAAGATGGAAAGGAGTCCAAAGAGTGCAGAGAACTGGAAATAACACCACATAGCTGAGTCTTGCATCTGGGCCTGTCTTTTGTCCATAGACCTGTGGGAAAACTGTTTGAGCTGTGATTTTTGCCACCAAGGACTCATCACAGCTGTCCCCATGCCAGGACTGTGTCTCCACCATACTCCCCATCACAAGTGCAGCAGGCTGGGACCTACTGTGGTTTAAGCCCAGCCTGCAACTAAACACCAGGCACCTGCTCACTCCTCCCCTGGCCTCCGGTGGGGTGGGGAAGAGAATTGGAAGAAAAAGGTAAAACCCCATGGGTTGAGACAGAAACAGTTTAATGGGACAACACAAGGAGAGAAGAAACAATATTAACAACAATACTAATAAAAGAATAAGTGAAGCAAGTGACGCACTATGCAGTTGCCCACCACCCAGATCCTTCCTCTGCCCGGCCAGCTCAGCCAGTTTATATACTGAGCGTGATGTCATATGGTATTGAATATCCCCTTGGCTAGTTCGGGTCAGCTGTGGACAATCTGCCGTTTAATTTGTTCAAAGGCTTGTCATTGTTCAGGGCCCCATTTGAAACAACTTTTCTTCCAGGTCACTTGACAGAGAGGGCTTGCAATCAGACTGTAATTTGGAATATGCCTTCTCCAGAAACCCACAGCACCTAAGCAAGCTTGTGTTTCCATTTTGGCTAGTCAGTGGAGACATAGATCCTATCTTGTTGATCACATCCACCGGGATCCAGCAATGCCCAACTTGTAATTTTATTCCTAAAAACTGAATGTTCTGTGCAGGTCCCTTGACTTTACTTTGCTTTCCGGTGAAACTGGCACTCAGAAGGATTTGGATTATTCTCTCTCCTTTCTCAAAGAATACTTCTGTCATGTTGCCCCACAGGATGAATACGCGTTCTGAATACAGGTCAGAAGTTCTCACGGGATCAGGAGTAAAGTCAACCCTTCTACTCCGTTTGGACAAGTGATTACTGGAAACTGGAGGGGAAATTCTCCTGAAAGAACTCTGATTAGTAGTTGGTTTTCCCCGCAACTCATGTACCCACTCTTCTAGGTGGAAGGTAGACTTTCCACCCTGTTTTCTCATGTCTTCTCCATGGTCACGCAGGCAATACCACAGCTTCCCCCGTGGTGTATGCCATCTCTCCTGAGTAGGGGAATGCTTGCTTCTAATAGCTGAGATATTGGTCTGTACAGGTGGGGGCAGAACTTGTCCTCGAATCTCTGGAAGTCTTGGGACCATAAGTTTCTCCATATGTTTCTCCAGGATATCTGGTAGTTTCTCCACAGATGAGATGCAGGCCAGCGGGGAGGAAGAGAGACTCTCTTCAAATTGTTGGAGTTGGGTAGCCACTTCGTGCATGGTTGGTGCCTTATTGTCTCTACCTAAATCGTGCACTGCCAGTGAGTTTGCATACGGTGATGGTGTGCTCCGTACAACCTTCTGCCACAGGGGTCATCCACACTGGACATCATCTGGGTCTTCAGGTAACTGCATGTTAGTTGCGTCATGACATAGCTCCTCCTGCACAGCCAGTCCCCTTGGGTCCTGGATACCTCTCTCTATATGACCCAGTTGTCTGGATTACATACAACCTCTTCCTCGTACGGATACCTTTCCCTCACACCTGACAAAAGCCGCCTCCACAGGCTGTGGGTTAGGTTAGTGCCTCTTTCCAATCACTTTATCACCACCTCCTTCCTCAGCAAGGGACCCAAGCTGCTGGGCTTTTTTTGCCTCTAAATCCAAGCTACTGGCCCCGTTATCGCTGCAACTGGGCAGCCAGGTGACAATGTGCTTGCCTTGATAATGGCTGAAATCTTTTCATCTATCCTGCAGCTCACTCAAGAATAGAGATCAGGTGGAGGAAGTTGCCATCTCTTTTTCTCCTTCCCCCTCCTCCTTCTCCCTAGGAGGAATGTCTTCATCCCTTTCTAAATGTGATGACCTTCATGTCCATTTCTTCTTCTGTATGGGTGCGACTGGCACTGGCGTGGGTTGGGCCTTCAGTTCAGCTGCAGTGCCTGTCACTGGGGTTGGAGTGGCTGCAGTGTCTGTCATTTTGTTATCAGGTTCAGAGACCTTCTCCTCCCCTTCAGGTACTGAATAGTGTTGAGCAGGGCTCTGTAGGCATGGGCCAGGCCCCAGCACGTTGCTGAGACCTGAGTCTCTCTGGAATTACCATGGTGACAGAGTACTTTTCCCAAATATTTTACCAGTTTTTCGGGATTCCGCACTTGTTCAGGGGTGAAGTTCCAAAACACTGGAGGTGCCCACTGTCCTAGGTACTTGCCCGTGCTATCCCACACCTTTTGCTACTCATAACTCTCCAGCCTTGGGGTAGATGTCTGGGTGATGCTCTTAAATAGTTGCTTACCCCTGAACAAAACCTGAACCACATGCAGGGACACGCTGGCTCCTCGCAGTAAGACGTCCACGTTAGTGTCAACATCATTCCAAGGCTATCCTACATTTTCGAAATTCTCAAACGCTATTGTAAGTAGCCTGAAGAAGAGGAAGGTGCAGGGAGGTGTTTCCCCATGGATTGGGTCTCCGAGGGGAAAAAGTAAAGGGTGTAATTGTTAACCCTTTCCGCTAGATGGCCCCCGAAGTACAGAGGTTACGACAATGCTGAGTACAGATCTCGAACTAGTCTCAGGATCGATAACTTTATGGTGGCATAAACGAGTGGTACATAGTACAGCAAAGGGAAAATCTTAATCCACCTCCCATGGGTGATAAACAGCAGCATAGGGACTATATACAGCAAGTAAGGTGATGCATAGCACAACTCTAAGAATGAAAGCACCATAACTCTAGGAGCCAATAAACTGACATTATGACCAGCAACTGTTTGTCGTGGTTTAGGTCTGATTGGCAGCCAACCACAATGCAGCACCTCTCTCTCCCTTCCCCTCCGGCAATGAGAAGGGACAGAGAGCCAGGCTTGGGGTTCAAGACAGGACTGGGATGGGGGAAAAATTCCCCTTTTATGATCACGAGCAAAAGGCAGACTCGTTAGGGGAGGAAAAAAAGAACATACATTTATTACAGACACTAACAACACATAACAGAGTAAGACAGTGAGAAGCATTGCCACATCTTGAGAACACCTTCCCCCACCCCTCCCTTCTTCCCGGGCTCAGCTCTGCTCCCGATATCTCTACCTCCTCCCCCCGCGACGCAGGGGCAGGGAATGGGGGGTGCAGTCAGTGCTGCCACTTCCTTCATCTTCGGTGAGGGGAGTGTCCAAAACTTGTTCCCCCTGCTCCATCGTGGTCCCCCTCTCACAGGAGACAGTCCTCCACAAACTTTCTCCGACTTGAATTCCTCCCATGGGCCGCAGCGTTCCCCACACTGCTCTGTCATGGGTCACTAACTTCCTCCGACTGGATTCTCTCCCACGGCTGCAGCCCTTCCCGAGCTGCTGCGGCGTGGGAATCCCCCGCATGCTGCAATCCTCCCAGCACTGAATTACAGCAGCGGGGCTACATTTTCCCATGAGACCCCGGCCTTCTTCGGGCACAGAACCTTGATCAGGCGAGCAGGAGCAACAGGCCACAAATCAATGTCTGCTCCACCGTAGATCTTCATGGGTGGCAGGGGGGGCCGCCCTGCCGTCTCACCACAGGATACAGGGGGGTCTCTGCTCCGGCACACCTCCCCCCTCCTTTCTTCCTCCGTTCCTCCACTGACCTTGGTGTTCATGCAGCTGCAGCAACTCCTCCTCACCAGTCCCACTGCTCGTCACCACATCCCTTCTTAAATACGTTATCGCAGAGGCGCAGCCGATTGGCTCAATTTCCCAAACAGAAGTGGAGCTGACTTGGAGCTGGGGGAGCTTTGAGAAGCTTCTCGTAGTGGGCAGCCCCTATAGCCCCCTCCCCTGCCACCAAAAAACTCCACCACGCACTCAACCCAGGACACCATCAGATCCACACAGTCCAGTCAACTTGGTTGTCCGCTTCATCCACTTGTCTGGAGCCCAGGGCCCCTCTGATCCTGGTCATAGTATTCATTACTTGCTTTTTGTTGATATAAATCAGAAGTCCCTTCAAAAGTATCAGAAGTGAGATCGGCCCTTATACTCTGCTTGGGGAGCTGCCTGCTGGAAACTGGAGTGGCATTTTTTTCAGGAGGAATCATATTTTGTGATTGTTTTTCCTTGCAACTCATATTTGTGCCTCTAGAGTTGAAGTGGGTTTTCCATCCCACTGCCTCATGTTCTATCCGTGGTCACACAAATAAGAGCACTGGGTATCCCAAGGTGTGCACCTTCTATATCCTCTCTTGAGCAGAGGGATGCCTACTCCTAGCAGATGAGAAAAAAGCCCTTACAGGTGGGGATTAGGGCATATCTTCTTTAAATTGCTGGAACTCCAGGGATAGTTTTTCCACATCTGAGACACAGCCGCAGAAGGAGGAAGAGTGATTTCCTTTGTATTGCTGGAGTTGACGAGCCACTTCATCCACCATTTGTCCCTCGTCTTCTTCCCAGGACATCGCTGCCAATGACTTGACATACAACGGTGGTGCACTTCATAGAAACGTCCACCAAATGGGTTGTGTGCATTGGACTTCATCTCGATCTGTGGGCAACTACTTGTTATCCAGATCATTATAAATCACCTCCAGCATGGCTAATTCCCTCAGGGAGTGGACACCTCTCTCCATGGTAGTCCACTTGCCTGGGTGACATGCAACATCTTCCTTGAAGGGGCACCTTTCCTTCATGCCTGACAGAAGTCACCTCCAGAGGCTGAGGGCTTGTGCCTTTTTTTCAGTGGCCTTGTCAGTGCCCCTTCCCTAGACAGGGATCCCAGCTGCCTGGCTTCCCTACCTTCTAATTCCAAGCTACTGGCCCTGTTATCCCAGCTGAATTATCCCTGTTATGCCATCCCTCAGTAAGTAACCTGATTTTGGGTTGCATTTCTCCTTCTGTACAGGGACAACTGATAGGGGCACAGGTTATTTCTCTGCTTCAGCTGCAGAGCCTGTGGCCGGGGTTTGAGTTGTCACAGTGCCTGTCGGTCTTCTTACCCCCCTTCCCCTGAGGGCGCTGCATAGCATCAAGCAGTGTTTGGTAGACACTGGCCGGGCCCAGCACAGCGTGTTAAGTTATGCCTCTTTGGAAAAGCCACAGCACTTTCCTTTCAAATAGTCTCTCACTTCATCAGTCTCCTGCAGTTGTTCGGGAGTACAGTTCCAAACCACTGGAGGTGAGAGGTTCTCTAGGCACTTGCCCATATTCTGCCACATGCCGTGCCACCCATGACTATCCAGCTTTGGGGAAGACCTCTGGGTGGTATTCTTGAAATGATTTTTGGAAGCCTAAACACAACCTGAAACACACTCAGAACACAGAGCAATAAGAGTAACCCTAGGTTGAGCATCCCAAGGCTACTCAAAATTTTCAAAAGCTGTTGTAATTAGCCTGAAGGAGAAAGGGGAGGTGAAAGAGCAGGGGAAAGTATAGCCCCTGTTTTCCCCATTGATTGGGTGCGATTACTAATAAATTTCAAGAGAAGGTGCCCGAGGCATGGGCGTGACAGCAATGCCACACATAAATACCAGCTTAACCTCGTGGCTGGTGATGTAATCATGTCATAAATCGAAGTTACCCAGTACTACAGCAAAATGATAATCCTGATCCCCCTCCCAAAGGTGATAAACATCACCGCAGGGAATACATGGTGTATGTAAGAACTTCCATAAGACCACTACGGGAACAACTAAACCAACATTGTGACCAGTGAGTAACCAGTATCAGAAATATGCTCAGCAGGTTTGTTTTAACACGCTCTGGTCAGATCTGTCATTATCTCAACCCTTCCTGGTCCACATCAAGTGCCAAAAAGCACTGTGTGGTTGAAGCTAGCTTCTAATTAAACATCATGCAGCTGCTCGCTCACCTCTCCCCCTCGGTGGGATGGGGAGGAGAAGCAGAGAAAAAAACATAAAGCCTCTTGTGTTGACATAAGGACAGTTTAATAGGACAACACAAGGAGAGAAGTAACAATAACGACAATAATACTAATAGAAGGGTGTATCAAGTGAGTTATTCACAAGGCAATTTCTCACCACCTGGAACCTGATGCTCAGGTAGTTTGTGAGCTGCAATCCCTCTGTCCTCAGCCAGCTCCCCTGGGGCTCTGCTGAGCGTGATGTCCTATGGGACCAAATAACCCCTTGGCTAGTTTGGGTTAGCTGTCCTGGCTGGGCCACTTCAGAGTTCCTTGTGAAAATTAACTCTAGCCCAGCTGAAAAAAGGACAGCCTCCCTTGCTCAAAAGGAAGCACAGGGACCCTGGCACAACACCCCGTCTCCTGGCCCATCAGCTGAGGCTGAAGAGGCCAGCATCCTCAAAGAACACCCCGACACCCACCTGCCACCCCAGCCCCTGTCCCACAAACCTGCATCTCCTCACTAAGCAAAGTTGGAACTGGGCGTGTGGGTTTGCTGATGTGCCTGAGCACCGCAGGGCTGAGCCTCCGCGGTGGCCCCGACCCTCGTGTTGGCACTGCGGGTGCCGCCGGCCCGTTACCCCAAGAGGAGCCGGCTCTGGCAGCCCCAGGGGAGACGCTGGTGTCACGGCGTGCTGTGGCGTACTGAGGCACGGACTCAAATCACGGGTGATGCTGAGACGCTCGACTTCAGCACGCTGGCTGCTTGTATACCTTTCGTGCGTTACGGTACTTTCCCACCAAGTTACAGCACTCTCCTACCAGCTGAACACCAGCAGGTGTTCCGCGCTAATCTCGCAGTACTACTGGCAGTCTTCTTGCTTCCTTCTCTCCCAGCAGCAGCCGAAGCTTGTGAGCATTTTTCTCGTAACGAAGCCCATGTTAAAACCAAGGCACAGCACTCTTCTAACTACCAGGAAGAAACACTGACTCTACTTTCGCAGGGTCGACTTGGCCGAGGCCTCCGAGTACTTGTGTTCAGGCTGAGGCCTGCTCCAAGGCCTAGCACGCACTTCCATTTTGTGTCCCCCGACAGCGTGGGGCCGTGCTGGGCGGCAGTGGAGGTTAACACGGGCTGGGGAGGGGGAAGCACCGTGGGAGCTGCTGTGGGGCCCAGGCCGCCCTGGCCAGGGAGGGGAGGAGCGGGGAACCCAGGGCGTGGGGAGGGCAAGTGGGTCCCCGGGGGACCCTTCTCCTGCGTCAGGGCTCCAGCCGGGACTGCAGAGACACCCAAAGGAGTTGATAGCACAAACAGTTTATTTAGGCATCAAGACTTCTGACACTCCATTAACAGACACATTTATATAGTTTAAATTATTTTGATATAGTTTAAATTATTTTTGTACTTTCCTTTTTCTTAGTAAAAAATATTTAATTTAACTTAAATAAGTTAAAGAGAATACATTTTCCTGCTGAAGAAGGTTGCAGCTGAAGTCCTGTCTTGTGTGCCCGGGGCTGGGCACCAGGCTCGCCAGGGGAAGCAGCGGGGCCATCGTGGTTGGCCACAGGGAATGGTCAGTTATTCTGAGGCTGGAAGTGCTTGAGGTGTGCCTTCACCCAGGGCACCTGGGGGTCTGCGCACAGCTCCTTCTTCTTCTTGGTGACCAGGCTGCCAGGAGAAAACCCATGTTCATGCGCTCGGCCAGGGCAGCAGGGTGCCTATGCTGGGTCCTGCCTGCAGCACCCTTGGGTATCTGTGTCCCCGTCCCCCTCCCAGCCACCCTTGGGACATAGCCCTTGCCGTTGCAGCCCGTGCCCCCAGCAGCGGTGGGTACTTACATCACCCCTGGCTGGGTGCAGCTGCTGCTGGTGGTGTAGATGGATGCGATGAGAGCCCGCGGGACAGGGCGTTGCTGGTAGCTGAAGCAGCAGGATGTGGGGACGCCGTCTGATGGCAGAGAGACAGATAGACAACCTTCATGAGACCCCTGGTTATAACACAGGCTCTGGCCCCAACAGCTCTTGGCGTTCCCCAGAGATTTGACATTTACCATTCCCTGTCTCATGTCATATTCCCCGGCCATGGCCCCCCTGGAGACCCCTGGCCCCCAGCCCGAGTCCCAGCACTGGCGCTGGTCTCCTGCTGCCAGCCCTGCCCACAGCCACCAGGGTCCCCGCTGACAGGGATGGGTCACCCCGCCTGCCCCGGCAGCTCCCGTGGAGCGATGGCACCCCCAGCCCCGGGGAGGATGCGGCAATGTCAGACTCACCAAGATGTCCCTCGGACAGGGAGCAGGAGGCCACGAGGAAGAGAGTGATGAGGGCAGCCGTGGGGACCTTCATGGTGCTGTGGGGGCCGAGGGATCCGCAAGCAGGGCTGGAGCTGGGGTCTGCAAAGCTCACTGCACGATGCTCAGCCCCAGTGTTGATGCTCTCCTTTTATTCCTGGCTGCTGGGTGGGCACAGTGTTTCAAGGAAAGATAATGAGTGCATCATACCAGGGAAATTATGTCATGATCCCCAAGTTTTGCTGAGCTTGAGAAGGCAAGGAAACCGCAGAAGGGGAAGAGCTGGCCATGTGGCTGTAACTTTCAGATTCCATTTGGGTGCCCAGTGCAGACTGGCCAGAGCTCAATCCCCCACAACACTGATCCTGCCACTTCTGCGGGGATGCCACCAGCCATGAGCCGGGCTGGGGCATGAAGCTCCATGTCCAGAGCCCCAGCGGCAATGCCATGCAGGGAGCTGTGAAGCAACCGCAGCAAGTTCCAGGCAGGGATTTGCTTTGCAACAGCCCCAGCACCATCACTGGTTTGCTGTTCTGCGGACAGAGAGCCCAGCCCACCTCAGAGGTACTTACATCACCCCTGGCTGGGTGCAGCTGCTGCTGGTGGTGTAGATGGATGCGATGAGAGCCCGCGGGACAGGGACCCTGGTGGCTGTGGGCAGGGCTGACTGACCGTACGTATGCACCGATGGCATCTGTTGAGTGTTGGGAAGTCTTTTTTGAGGGCCCTGGACTAGTCAACCTCAGGTGAAGTGTCGGGATGCAGGGTGCTGCGCAAGGTTCCCTGCACTGGAGGGGCTGGAGTCTGGTCCGGTGTCAAGGGAGGGAGATGATGAGCACCTTGTGCAAGCCCACCTCACTCTTCCTCCCTCCCTCTCTCCCCAGAACACAGCCCTGTCCATGTCCCCACGTCCTGCGTGGCTGTGGTGGCAGGTGACACTGGGGACTCTGTCACCCCGCTGCACCCCTCTCCAGCGTCCATGCCTCTGCAGTCGCTGCAGTCCCAGGAGACGGCATCATCTTCCCCCAGGGCAGAGCAGAGCTGGTGGGTTCCTTGTGAGGCACAGGATGTGCAGAGTAGAAGTCTCCAGGGCCTGGGGGAGCAACAGGACCCACTGTCACCAAAGGCCCCCGAGCTGTGTGTGGGGTGCCAGCCCCGGCGCTGTGCTGAGCCCACGTCCACCCCTGCTCCCGCCGGCAGCTGGGGCTGAGCTGCTGGCACTCACCCTGCCGTGCCGTGCCCATATCCCAGGGAAGCTCCATCCCTGCCCAGAGGAGGAGACGAAGGCATCGCCATCTCCTCGCTGGGGCTGCGGGGACCGCAGCCACCGGCACTCACCCATTCACCTCCACATGCTCGCGTCCCTCTGGGCACAGGCACTGGTTGGCATCACAGGAGCTGTGCCGCAAGTAATGGCCTGCAAAGGCCCCATCCTCCTCCTCCCAGGCAGCATCCCTGCGGGAGCGGGGGAGCGCTCACCCTGGGGCCGTGGGGGACACCCCGGCGGCACCCGCGCAGGCAGGAGGGCTCAGCTGGAGCATCGCGGAGGGGGAGGCGGCAGCGGGAGGGAGGGCACTGACCTGTCAGGGATCCGGATGCCCAGGTGAAACATCTCTGCCAGGAATTGCTCCCTGTTGCGGCACAGCGGGCAGCAAAAGTAGTGAAAGCCAGAGCGCAGCGCCTGTCCCTGGGGCAGAGGTGGCATCAGCATCAGCACCCGGGGGTCCGGTTCACCGCCCTGGAGCTGGGCGACGCGACAACAGGGTGACAGCAGGGGGGATCGCTCCAGGGGCCGGGGGCGATGCCACCTACCTGGATGCAGCCGCGGTGGAACCAGGCGCTGGCGCAGGCGGGACACACCAGGGTGTCGTAGCAGGGGCGCTCCGCCACCCCCTCCTGGCAGATGAGGCAGAGGGTCTGGTCCTGCTGCACCGCCCGCACCCGCTGCACCGGCCGGTGCTTCCAGCAAAAAGACCTGGAGGATGGAGGGGACAGCTTGGCTCCGGGCCCGGACCCCGGCACCAGCCCCGGCCCCGCCCCGACCCCGCGTGGCAGCCATACTCACTTGAACTCCCCGAACAACTGGGAGACGCAGCCCCGCTTGCTGCCGCAGGGGAAGTGGAAGATGCGGCAGGCAGCGCCGGGCCCGGCAGCGCCGGCCCGGCAGGTGACCGAGGCGCCCGGCAGCTGGCAGATGTGGCACCGTCTGGGGACGGCAGGAAGGACAACGGTGTCAGCGCCACAGGCCCCAGGGAGCCCCGCCGCGTTCTGTGGGGCCGCCCGGCTGGTGACACCGGGCCCCTGATAGATAAGGATGCCCCCCGTACCCTCCAGATCCCCCCCCTGCCGCAGGAACGGGCCTTTTTGCGTCATGGGGTATCTGACTTGGGGGTTGCTTGCAGCCGGCTGCCAGAGCAGCGCTGGGGGCTGGGTGGGTGGCTGCTGGCGTGTGCAGTGCCAGGCACGGGGCGTGGGGACACGGTGGGGACACATGGGGACAAGGCCTCACTTTCTGTGCCACCCGCTTCAGCTCCTGGCGGATATCAGGGAAGAGGAAGCCGTAGAAACCCTGTTTGTTGGCCCCTCTCTGCATCAGCCCGCTGGCGTGGTAATGCAAGGGGGTTTTGAAAAGAGGGTGAGTGCCAGGGGCTGCCGGCGGTGCGGGGCTGGGGACCGGAGGGTGTCGGGGACTGGGGGGGTGTCGAGCCCCAGGGACTCACCAGGCAGTTCTCGTGGACGCAGAGCCCACCCTTTTGGCACAGCTGGCCAACCATGTCGGCATCACAGTTGTCCTGCCGGCACAGCCCGCACACTGCCGGGGGACAGAGGCACCGTCACCCCCAGCAGCACGCCGCGGAGCCAGGTGGGGGTAATGCTGGGAGCGGGGATGGGGGAGAGGCCGGAGCACCCTGGGACGCTGCGGGGGCCTGTGGCAGCACAGCCGGGCACCGGCCAAAATCCCCTCTGGCCGGTGCCCGGGGGGAAGCTCTGCACTCACCTCTCTCCTTGGAGATGGGACATCTCCTTTTGCGCTTGGGAGGAGCACAGGAGGGTCTTGCCTGCTCCTCCGGCAGCGCTGGGGGACACTGCTCTGTTGGGCATTCTGACATCCTGCGGCGCCGCGACCTCAGCTCCATGGCCGCAAGTGGCTGCCACGAAGCAGCTGGCTGGGCCTGGGGACCTCGCTCTGGTCGGAGACCGTCCTTGTCCTCCAGTGCCCGTGGCAAACACACCACGGAGCCGGGGGCAGTGGCGTGGGGGTATTTATACAGGCCAGGGTGTTTCGTGCGTGCCCGGTCACAAACACGGTCCATCCAGCACGTGCGCAGCCGGGTCACAGATGTTGCCGTGGATGCTGCTGCTCCGGCCTCCCCGTGCTCACTGGAAACACGCCCCAAAGCATTTGTGTTTTCAATTTCTTCTTGTCTTTAAGGAAGGGATTGACTCAAGTGACAGGCCTGGTATGGTCCAATTTCCTTAAGGCGATTGCCATCCCCATTGCTGCTGCGGTGGGTGGGTGGGCTTTAGGGACTGCGGGAGGGTTTTCCCCGTGAGACAGGGTGATTCCTGGGGACCTGGAGCTCCCCAGTGCGAGCAGGCTCACCCCCACGGGTGCTCATCTGCAGGGTCTGGCCGGGCCTGGACAGCGCTAAACCTCCAAGCATCTCTCCTCCTGCAGCCGCCCCTCTTTAGCCCCTGGATCCATCTGGGGAAAAAACCATAGCAACCCCCCCATACCCTCCCCAAACCCTCCAAAGCCAACCCTTTCTCCTGTTGCCAGCCTGCGCCTGCCTTTCTGCCTGCCTCAATCCGTATCCCAGTGGGCGGGCAGCTGCTCAGGGCATCCTTAAACCCCACAACCAGGACGGGGCTGCTGCTTCATGGGGGGGAGCTGAGCTGGGGGCATCAGCCTTGGCCCTTCGGGTTTCCCTGCCGTCTCAGGAGCTCCTGGTTATTCCTGGGCCCCTGTGGGGACACCAAGCCCTGACGTGACCCTGCTTTTCTCCCACGGGATTTACTTCCTCTCACTCCAGCTGCAGGCCAGAACAGGGTAGTTTATGAAACCCATCGAGGGTTCTGCGGTAGTGTGGAGAGGGTGACCCAGCATCGCCCCCCCTCCCATGGCTCAGCCAGCAAGATGTCTCTTTGGCCCGTCTCTTCCAATTTCAGCTCAAGGGGACTGCTTTTTCCTTCTGTGAACTGCCCAGTAAGAGCATAGATACTTTTGGCCCAGCACATAACAAGCTGGCACATCTTGCTTTGCTTTTAGGACCAAGCCTGGAGTCATGACAACCACTGGCCCTTTACTGTCCTTTTCAGAGAAGGCTCCTTCCTGCGGGCTCCTCAGCCTAATCCTGCTGGGTGTAATTCTGCATGAAGAAGCCTTCTCCTCCCAGGAGAGCTATCGCTTCTGATTCCAAGTGCTGCTCTGGTGTGAAAACTACTTTTTACCCCAGGCTCAATGCCTCAGAGCAGTCCCAGGGGTTGGCTCCCCTGTGTGCCCAGAGCCCCTCCAAACAGCCGATGCTTCTACCTCTGAAAATGCCTTGGAGGAAGATGGAAAGGAGTCCAAAGAGTGCAGAGAACTGGAAATAACACCACATAGCTGAGTCTTGCATCTGGGCCTGTCTTTTGTCCATAGACCTATGGGAAAACTGTTTGAGCTGTGATTTTTGCCACCAAGGACTCATCACAGCTGTCCCCATGCCAGGACTGTGTCTCCACCATACTCCCCATCACAAGTGCAGCAGGCTGGGACCTACTGTGGTTTAAGCCCAGCCTGCAACTAAACACCAGGCGCCTGCTCACTCCTCCCCTGGCCTCCGGTGGGATGGGGAAGAGAATTGGAAGAAAAAGGTAAAACCCCATGGGTTGAGACAGAAACAGTTTAATGGGACGACACAAGGAGAGAAGAAACAATATTAACAACAATACTAATAAAAGAATAAGTGAAGCAAGTGACGCACTATACAGTTGCCCACCACCCAGATCCTTCCTCTGCCCGGCCAGCTCAGCCGGTTTATATACTGAGCATGACGTCATATGGTATTGAATATCCCCTTGGCTAGTTCGGGTCAGCTGTGGACAATCTGCCGTTTAATTTGTTCAAAGGCTTGTCATTGTTCAGGGCCCCATTTGAAACAACTTTTCTTCCAGGTCACTTGACAGAGAGGGCTTGCAATCAGACTGTAATTTGGAATATGCCTTCTCCAGAAACCCACAGCACCTAAGCAAGCTTGTGTTTCCATTTTGGCTAGTCAGTGGAGACATAGATCCTATCTTGTTGATCACATCCACCGGGATCCAGCAATGCCCAGCTTGTAATTTTATTCCTAAAAACTGAATGTTCTGTGCAGGTCCCTTGACTTTACTTTGCTTTCTGGTGAAACTGGCACTCAGAAGGATTTGGATTATTCTCTCTCCCTTTCTCAAAGAATACTTCTGTCATGTTGCCCCACAGGATGAATACTGCGTTCTGAATACAGGTCAGAAGTTCTCACGGGATCAGGAGTAAAGTCAACCCTTCTACTCCGTTTGGACAAGTGATTACTGGAAACTGGAGGGGAAATTCTCCTGAAAGAACTCTGATTAGTAGTTGGTTTTCCCCGCAACTCATGTACCCACTCTTCTAGGTGGAAGGTAGACTTTCCACCCTGTTTTCTCATGTCTTCTCCATGGTCACGCAGGCAATACCACAGCTTCCCCCGTGGTGTATGCCATCTCTCCTGAGTAGGGGAATGCTTGCTTCTAATAGCTGAGATATTGGTCTGTACAGGTGGGGGCAGAACTTGTCCTCGAATCTCTGGAAGTCTTGGGACATAGTTTCTCCATATGTTTCTCCAGGATATCTGGTAGTTTCTCCACAGATGAGATGCAGGCCAGCGGGGAGGAAGAGAGACTCTCTTCAAATTGTTGGAGTTGGGTAGCCACTTCGTGCATGGTTGGTGCCTTATTGTCTCTACCTAAATCATGCACTGCCAGTGAGTTTGCATACGGTGATGGTGTGCTCCGTACAACCTTCTGCCACAGGGGTCATCCACACTGGACATCATCTGGGTCTTCAGGTAGCTGCATGTTAGTTGCGTCATAACATAGCTCCTCCTGCACAGCCAGTCCCCTTGGGTCCTGGATACCTCTCTCTATATGACCCAGTTGTCTGGATTACATACAACCTCTTCCTCGTACGGATACCTTTCCCTCACACCTGACAAAAGCCGCCTCCACAGGCTGTGGGTTAGGTTAGTGCCTCTTTCCAATCACTTTATCACCACCTCCTTCCTCAGCAAGGGACCCAAGCTGCTGGGCTTTTTTTTGCCTCTAAATCCAAGCTACTGGCCCCGTTATCCCTGCAACTGGGCAGCCAGGTGGCAGTGTGCTTGCCTTGATAATGGCTGAAATCTTTTCATCTATCCTGCAGCTCACTCAGGAATAGAGATCAGGTGGAGGAAGTTGCCATCTCTTTTTCTCCTTCCCCCTCCTCCTTCTCCCTAGGAGGAATGTCTTCATCCCTTTCTAAACTGTGATGACCTTCATGTCCATTTCTTCTTCTGTATGGGTGCGACTGACACTGGCGTGGGTTGGGCCTTCAGTTCAGCTGCAGTGCCTGTCACTGGGGTTGGAGTGGCTGCAGTGTCTGTCATTTTGTTATCAGGTTCAGAGACCTTCTCCTTCCCCTTCAGGTACTGAATAGTGTTGAGCAGGGCTCTGTAGGCATGGGCCAGGCCCCAGCGCGTTGCTGAGACCTGAGTCTCTCTGGAATTACCATGGCTGACAGAGTACTTTTCCCAAATATTTTACCAGTTTTTCGGGATTCTGCACTTGATTCAGGGGTGAAGTTCCAAAACACTGGAGGTGCCCACTGTCCTAGGTACTTGCCCGTGCTATCCCACACCTTTTGCTACTCATAACTCTCCAGCCTTGGGGTAGATGTCTGGGTGATGCTCTTAAATAGTTGCTTACCCCTGAACAAAACCTGAACCACATGCAGGGACACGCTGGCTCCTCGCAGTAAGACGTCCACGTTAGTGTCAACATTCCAAGGCTATCCTACATCTTCGAAATTCTCAAACGCTATTGTAAGTAGCCTGAAGAAGAGGAAGGTGCAGGGAGGTGTTTCCCCATGGATTGGGTCTCCGAGGGGAAAAAGTAAAGGGTGTAATTGTTAACCCTTTCCGCTAGATGGCCCCCGAAGTACAGAGGTTACGACAATGCTGAGTACAGATCTCGAACTAGTCTCAGGATCGGTAACTTTATGGTGGCATAAACGAGTGGTACATAGTACAGCAAAGGGAAAATCTTAATCCACCTCCCATGGGTGATAAACAGCAGCATAGGGACTATATACAGCAAGTGAGGTGATGCATAGCACAACTCTAAGAATGAGAGCACCATAACTCTAGGAGCCAATAAACTGACATTATGACCAGCAACTGTTAAACCAGTATAATGAATGCTTATAATAAATTCGTTGTAATACATTATGGCCAGATCTGTCGTCATCTCAACCCTTCATGCCCCACGTTGGGAGCCAAAAAGTACTGTTGTGGTTTAAATCCATCCAGCAGCCAAACACCACACAGCCGCTTACTCACCCTTCCTCTGACCTGGAGATGGGGGAGACAATTGGAGGTGTAAAGGGAGACTCGTAGGTTGAGATAAAAACACTTTAATAATTGAAATAAAATACTACTACTACTAAAAATAATAGAATACAGGTAAATAACGCACAATAGGATTGCTTACCACCTGCTGACCAGTGCCCATCCCAGTCCCAGATAGCAATCCCAGAGAAGTGAAGATCCCAAAACTGCAATCACAGAAGTGAAAGAGCAAACTTCCCAGCCAACCCTCATCTATACACTGAGCATGACACTGTATGATATGGAATATTCTAATGCCCAATTGTGTCCAGTGTACTGGCTGTGTTCCTTCCCAGCTTTGTGTGCACCTGCACGTGGGCAGGACACAGGGAGGTGGAGTCCCTGATTTCTTAGCAACAGCTAAAACCATCAGTGTATTACCAACATTCTTTTCATAACAAATCCCATGCTGAATCCAAAACAGAGCACTATTATAGCTACTAAGAAGAAAAAATAATTCCATCCCAGCCGAAACCAGGATACATTAGGGGAAGAAAAAAAAGAACACACATTTATTACAGACACTAACAACACATACCAGACTAGGACAGTGAGAAGCATTGCCACATCTTGAGAACACCTTCCCCCACCCCTCCCTTCTTCCCGGGCTCAGCTCTGCTCCCGGTATCTCTACCTCCTCCCCCAGCGGCGCAGGGGCAGGGAATGGGGGTGCAGTCAGTGCTGCCACTTTCTTTATCTTCAGTGAGGGGAGTTTCCAGAACTTGTTCCCCCAGCTCCAGTGTGGTCCCCCTCTCACAGGAGACAGTCCTCCACCAACTTTCTCCAACATGAGTTCCTCCCATGGGCCGCAGCGTTCCCCACACTGCTCCGTCATGGGTCACTAACTTTCTCCGACTGGATTCCCTCCCACGGCTGCAGCCCTTCCCGAGCTGCTCCGGCGTGGGACTCCCCCGCGTGCTGCAATCCTCCCAGCAGCTGAATTACAGCAGCGGGGCTGCCTTTTCCCACTGAGACCCCCGTGCTTCTTCGGGCACAGAACCTTGATCAGGCCAAGCAGAAGCAACAGGCCACTAAATCAGTGTCTCCTCTACCGTAGATCTTCATGGGTGGCAGGGGGGGCCGCCCTGCCGTCTCACCACAGGATACAGGGGGGTCTCTGCTCCGGCACACCTCCCCCCTCCTTTCTTCCTCCGTTCCTCCACTGACCTTGGTGTTCATGCAGGCTGCAGGCAACTCCTCCTCACCAGTCCCACTGCTCGTCACCACATCCCTTCTTAAATACGTTATCGCAGAGGCGCAGCCGATTGGCTCAGTTTCCAAACAGAAGTGGAGCTGACTTGGAGCTGGGGGAGCTTTGAGAAGCTTCTCGTAGTGGGCCGCCCCTATAGCCCCCTCCCCTGCCACCAAAAAACTCCACCACGCACTCAACCCAGGACACCATCAGATCCACACAGTCCAGTCAACTTGGTTGTCCGCTTCATCCACTTGTCTGGAGGCCAGGGCCCCTCTGATCCTGGTCATAGTATTCATTACTTGCTTTTTGTTGATATAAATCAGAAGTCCCTTCAAAAGTATCAGAAGTGAGATCGGCCCTTATACTCTGCTTGGGGAGCTGCCCTGCTGGAAACTGGAGTGGCATTTTTTTCAGGAGGAATCATATTTTGTGATTGTTTTTCCTTGCAACTCATATTTGTGCCTCTAAGAGTTGAAGTGGGTTTTCCATCCCACTGCCTCATGTTCTATCCGTGGTCACACAAATAAGAGCACTGGGTATGCCAAGGTGTGTACCTTCTATATCCTCTCTTGAGCAGAGGGATGCCTACTCCTAGCAGATGAGAAAAAAGCCCTTACAGGTGGGGATTAGGGCATATCTTCTTTAAATTGCTGGAACTCCAGGGATAGTTTTTCCACATCTGAGACACAGCCGCAGAAGGAGGAAGAGATGATTTCCTTTGTATTGCTGGAGTTGACGAGCCACGTCATCCACCATTTGTCCCTCGTCTTCTTCCCAGGACATCGCTGCCAATGACTTGACATACAACGGTGGTGCACTTCATAGAAACGTCCACCAAATGGGTTGTGTGCATTGGACTTCATCTCGATCTGTGGGCAACTACTTGTTATCCAGATCATTATAAATCACCTCCAGCATGGCTAATTCCCTCAGGGAGTGGACACCTCTCTCCATGGTAGGTCCACTTGCCTGGGTGACATGCAACATCTTCCTTGAAGGGGCACCTTTCCTTCATGCCTGACAGAAGTCACCTCCAGAGGCTGAGGGCTTGTGCCTTTTTTTCAGTGGCCTTGTCAGTGCCCCTTCCCTAGACAGGGATCCCAGCTGCCTGGCTTCCCTACCTTCTAATTCCAAGCTACTGGCCCTGTTATCCCAGCTGAATTATCCCTGTTATGCCATCCCTCAGTAAGTAACCTGATTTTGGGTTGCTATTTCTCCTTCTGTACAGGGACAACTGATAGGGGACACAGGTTATTTCTCTGCTTCAGCTGCAGAGCCTGTGGCCGGGGTTTGAGTTGTCACAGTGCCTGTCGGTCTTCTTACCCCCCTTCCCCTGAGGGCGCTGCATAGCATCAAGCAGTGTTCGGTAGACACTGGCCGGGCCCAGCACAGCTGTGTTAAGTTATGCCTCTTTGGAAAAGCCACAGCACTTTCCTTTCAAATAGTCTCTCACTTCATCAGTCTCCTGCAGTTGTTCGGGAGTACAGTTCCAAACCACTGGAGGTGAGAAGGTTCTCTAGGCACTTGCCCATATTCTGCCACATGCCGTGCCACCCATGACTATCCAGCTTTGGGGAAGACCTCTGGGTGGTATTCTTGAAATGATTTTTGGAAGCCTAAACACAACCTGAAACACACTCAGAACACAGAGCAATAAGAGTAACCCTAGGTTGAGCATCCCAAGGCTACTCAAAATTTTCAAAAGCTGTTGTAATTAGCCTGAAGGAGAAAGGGGAGGTGAAAGAGCAGGAGAAAGTATAGCCCCTGTTTTCCCCATTGATTGGGTGCGATTACTAATAAATTTCAAGAGAAGGTGCCCGAGGCATGGGCGTGACAGCAATGCCACACATAAATACCAGCTTAACCTCAGTGGCTAGTGATGTAATCATGTCATAAATCGAAGTTACCCAGTACTACAGCAAAATGATAATCCTGATCCCCCTCCCAAAGGTGATAAACATCACCGCAGGGAATACATGGTGTATGTAAGAACTTCCATAAGACCACTACGGGAACAACTAAACCAACATTGTGACCAGTGAGTAACCAGTATCAGAAATATGCTCAGCAGGTTTGTTTTAACACGCTCTGGTCAGATCTGTCATTATCTCAACCCTTCCTGGTCCACATCAAGTGCCAAAAAGCACTGTGTGGTTGAAGCTAGCTTCTAATTAAACATCATGCAGCTGCTCGCTCACCTCTCCCCCTCGGTGGGATGGGGAGGAGAAGCAGAGAAAAAAACATAAAGCCTCTTGTGTTGACATAAGGACAGTTTAATAGGACAACACAAGGAGAGAAGTAACAATAACGACAATAATACTAATAGAAGAGTGTATCAAGTGAGTTATTCACAAGGCAATTTCTCACCACCTGGAACCTGATGCTCAGGTAGTTTGTGAGCTGCAATCCCTCTGTCCTCAGCCAGCTCCCCTGGGGCTCTGCTGAGCGTGATGTCCTATGGGACCAAATAACCCCTTGGCTAGTTTGGGTTAGCTGTCCTGGCTGGGCCACTTCAGAGTTCCTTGTGAAAATTAACTCTAGCCCAGCTGAAAAAAGGACAGCCTCCCTTGCTCAAAAGGAAGCACAGGGACCCTGGCACAACACCCCGTCTCCTGGCCCATCAGCTGAGGCTGAAGAGGCCAGCATCCTCAAAGAACACCCCGACACCCACCTGCCACCCCAGCCCCTGTCCCACAAACCTGCATCTCCTCACTAAGCAAAGTTGGAACTGGGCGTGTGGCTTTGCTGATGTGCCTGAGCACCGCAGGGCTGAGCCTCCGCGGTGGCCCCGACCCTCGTGTTGGCACTGCGGGTGCCGCCGGCCCGTTACCCCAAGAGGAGCCGGCTCTGGCAGCCCCAGGGGAGACGCTGGTGTCACGGCGTGCTGTGGCGTACTGAGGCACGGACTCAAATCACGGGTGATGCTGAGACGCTCGACTTCAGCACGCTGGCTGCTTGTATACCTTTCGTGCGTTACGGTACTTTCCCATCCAAGTTACAGCACTCTCCTACCAGCTGAACACCAGCAGGTGTTCCGCGCTAATCTCGCAGTACTACTGGCAGTCTTCTTGCTTCCTTCTCTCCCAGCAGCAGCCGAAGCTTGTGAGCATTTTTCTCGTAACGAAGCCCATGTTAAAACCAAGGCACAGCACTCTTCTAACTACCAGGAAGAAACACTGACTCTACTTTCGCAGGGTCGACTTGGCCGAGGCCTCCGAGTACTTGTGTTCAGGCTGAGGCCTGCTCCAAGGCCTAGCACGCACTTCCATTTTGTGTCCCCCGACAGCGTGGGGCCGTGCTGGGCGGCAGTGGAGGTTAACACGGGCTGGGGAGGGGGAAGCACCGTGGGAGCTGCTGTGGGGCCCAGGCCGCCCTGGCCAGGGAGGGGAGGAGCGGGGAACCCAGGGCAGTGGGGAGGGCAAGTGGGTCCCCGGGGGACCCTTCTCCTGCGTCAGGGCTCCAGCCGGGACTGCAGAGACACCCAAAGGAGTTGATAGCACAAACAGTTTATTTAGGCATCAGGACTTCTGACACTCCATTAACAGACACATTTATATAGTTTAAATTAGTTTAGTTTAAATTATTTTGATATAGTTTAAATTATTTTTGTACTTTCCTTTTTCTTAGTAAAAAATATTTAATTTAACTTAAATAAGTTAAAGAGAATACATTTTCCTGCTGAAGAAGGTTGCAGCTGAAGTCCTGTCTTGTGTGCCCGGGGCTGGGCACCAGGCTCGCCAGGGGAAGCAGCGGGGCCATCAGTGGTTGGCCACAGGGAACGGTCAGTTATTCTGAGGCTGGAAGTGCTTGAGGATGTGCCTTCACCCAGGGCACCTGGGGGTCTGCGCACAGCTCCTTCTTCTTCTTGGTGACCAGGCTGCCAGGAGAAAACCCATGTTCATGCGCTCGGCCAGGGCAGCAGGGTGCCTATGCTGGGTCCTGCCTGCAGCACCCTTGGGTATCTGTGTCCCCGTCCCCCTCCCAGCCACCCTTGGGACATAGCCCTTGCCGTTGCAGCCCGCGCCCCCAGCAGCAGGTGGGTACTTACATCACCCCTGGCTGGGTGCAGCTGCTGCTGGTGGTGTAGATGGATGCGATGAGAGCCCGCGGGACAGGGCGTTGCTGGTAGCTGAAGCAGCAGGATGTGGGGACGCCGTCTGATGGCAGAGAGACAGATAGACAACCTTCATGAGACCCCTGGTTATAACACAGGCTCTGGCCCCAACAGCTCTTGGCGTTCCCCAGAGATTTGACATTTACCATTCCCTGTCTCATGTCATATTCCCCGGCCATGGCCCCCCTGGAGACCCCTGGCCCCCAGCCCGAGTCCCAGCACTGGCGCTGGTCTCCTGCTGCCAGCCCTGCCCACAGCCACCAGGGTCCCCGCTGACAGGGATGGGTCACCCCGCCTGCCCCGGCAGCTCCCGTGGAGCGATGGCACCCCCAGCCCCGGGGAGGATGCGGCAATGTCAGACTCACCAAGATGTGCCTCGGACAGGGAGCAGGAGGCCACGAGGAAGAGAGTGATGAGGGCAGCCGTGGGGACCTTCATGGTGCTGTGGGGGCCGAGGGATCCGCAAGCAGGGCTGGAGCTGGGGTCTGCAAAGCTCACTGCACGATGCTCAGCCCCAGTGTTGATGCTCTCCTTTTATTCCTGGCTGCTGGGTGGGCACAGTGTTTCAAGGAAAGATAATGAGTGCATCATACCAGGGAAATTATGTCATGATCCCCAAGTTTTGCTGAGCTTGAGAAGGCAAGGAAACCGCAGAAGGGGAAGAGCTGGCCATGTGGCTGTAACTTTCAGATTCCATTTGGGTGCCCAGTGCAGACTGGCCAGAGCTCAATCCCCCACAACACTGATCCTGCCACTTCTGCGGGGATGCCACCAGCCATGAGCCGGGCTGGGGCATGAAGCTCCATGTCCAGAGCCCCAGCGGCAATGCCATGCAGGGAGCTGTGAAGCAACCGCAGCAAGTTCCAGGCAGGGATTTGCTTTGCAACAGCCCCAGCACCATCACTGGTTTGCTGTTCTGCGGACAGAGAGCCCAGCCCAGCTCAGAGGCCATGGCATGGGCAGCCCCACACGCTGCCACTGCTGCTGGCAGAAAACCACTGCCAGGACTCACATCCCGTCTTAGCCCCAGTTGTGCCACAAATACCACTTCTCACCCTGCTTCACTGGTCACTGCTGGGATATAGAGTGAGCTCTGGAACGATGCAGTGCACATATGTTCATCTGCACTGATAGCACTGATTCTTGGTTGGACATGTGAGAAAAGAAAGATCACGTAGGAATGAGGTTGTGTCGAGCTAGAAGTCACTGGGAGTCTCACATTTGTCTCTTTTTCCTGGTAATATGGTCAAAAGCAACATCCTCATGCTGGAAAGGTTGCAGAGCCGTGGAGGACTGGACAGCCTGTGGGGACTGGACTCTGTTGCCCTTCTCCAGAGCTAGAGCAGCAGGCTCAGGCTGCAGCCTCACTTGCCACTCATCCTGTCCCCAGGGTGAACAGAAGTTTTACACCTCTCTAAGTATTTTAGATTTGGCTGCAGTCTTCAGCTTCTTGACAGTCAAGTTGTTGCAATTGCTGCTTGACCAATTCTTCCCAAACAGGGTAATTTAATTCGAATTTAAGATCTCTCTACTGGTTTAGCCCCCAAAAAGTAAATACATCCGTGTTAGGGGATAGGGCATTAAGAGTAGGAGATGGAGGGGGGGAGAAGATTCTGTTGGTGCCCACTGAGATCAGGTCATTGAAGCCGTGCAGATGAAACCTTGAGGAGATTGTAGCATGACTGAAAAGGGGCAGCATTTGCAATCCCAGAGGGTAATTCCCAAATGCCCCTGCTAGTGCACACCCAGAAAGAGTGAGCTGCCAAACTTGTTACTTCCTCCTTCTTTTTCTTTTTCCTGCCTTGCCCTGATGCTGCCCCGTTGTGCCACAAAAGCTTTGCTGCCCTGCTCCCACCTTCCACACAAACCCCGGCCTCCCACTGCCTGCCTCATGACCCTTGCTCCTCGGGCATGACTAATTCCTGCTGCCCTGACTCAAGGGAAAAGACTAACTCACTGAGATGGTGAGTGATGGCTGTTGCCATCCTCACGGCATGGCAGGGGCGATGGTCCCCATTCACATGGCCACTGGGATAAACCTCACAGTGGCTGCAATAGCCTTTTGCCCAGAAAACCTTTCCCTGCCAACAGGTCCCTGTCTGAAAGATGTATCCCTCCGAGACAGCACTTGTTTGAGAGGATGTGTAGGATTAAGAGAAAAGGTCATGATTGTTTCTTTTAGAAAGGATGGGACAGAGGTGAGAATGGTGTAAATCATCTCACCAGAGGCCTTCAGGAGGAGCTAGGCAATGCAGATCTGGCCTCAGGGCGGTGGTATGAACAGAAACCTCTCCAGCTCCCTTCTCCAACTGCCTATGTCTCAGCTATTTCTGTTTAAGTCGCTCTGTGCCTGGAGTTACAAATGAATTTTGTAATTAATGGTCTCCAAGGTCTTCATCTGGGGCATTTGAGAAGCGCTTGGAGGAGAGGTGGTGCCTGCTGTAAATGCTCCTGCTTGTCAAATGTCACTCGATGCACAAAAACAAAAGGAAAAGGCTCAGTTCCTCAGAGGACTGAAAATCTGCATGGTTTTGTTAATGCCATTGCAGAGTCACTAAGAGGTTTCTCTTAACCTCAAAGTGTTCTCTGTGTGCAGAGGAATCCCAAGTTCAGGGGACAGCCAGCAGAAGCTTTCTGCGTTTTTAGGAACACCTCTGTCTGTAAACTCCCATGTCTTCCGCAAAGACCTGCCCCAGACCTCTACCCTCCAACCACCTCATTCTGGCATTTCTCCTGCCCTCATCAGAGCCAACTTTGCTTTGTTTAACAAGTGTGAGGGAGGACATTAGCATGCAACAGGCTGTTACAATGAAGGCAACCAGAAATTGCTCTCTGAGTCAACTGCAGGAACAAGATGCTGAGCTAGCTGAACCCCAGGGTGGGATATTTCTGGGGAGAGCAGTCCTGAGCCAGGGTTGAGCTGGGCTTGGGCAGGAGAACAGAGTCACGGGGCTCACAGCCAAGGATGAGCAATGGCAGTGCGCAGTGCTGACCTGGTGGGAGCCCCTTTGCCTGTCCAAGCAGAGAGAAAAGGAGTGGGATAGGTAAGAGTGTAGCAAAGGGAAACAGGAAATGCCAGGATGGTGGTAAGGTATATCCCACACCCCGCACATATTAGAACGGAGATCATTGCAATGATCTGTGGGCATTGACTTTAGCAACAACCAGAAGAAAACTGTCATCTAGTAGGAACCATAGAAAATCTCACAATTGCAAAGATTATTTTTGATGGAAATGGTGAAAATATTTCCTCTTCCCTGCAGAAGTGGTTTGGCCAAGGTTTCAGTTCTCCATTTAGATGAGAGCTGGATGGGACTTCTTACTGGATGCTGATGAAATACTTTCCATTCTAACTGGAATCGAAGATATTACAACAAATTGCACAAAACTGTAGCTCAGCAAAAGTAGACAGTTTGTGTTTAAGTGTGTTTAAAGAATTAAATATAAGGAACTGATGTAAAGGGAGAGTGAAGAAATAACATGGTTTTATTTCTCCTGCCATGGAAGAGCTCTGTAAACAGATGACTTTCTAATCCAGCAGAGAAACACAAAAGAAAATCAAAAGGGGGTAGAGGGGAGGAAACACAGGAGATCAGAAACCCCAGCTTTGCAAATAACAAATCTGAAAAACAAAAGAAAGCAAAAGCCCATTAGTTAGGAAAAGGAGCAAGTAGTCAAAGATGCCACCTCTTTTTGGCTTCCCTTTGCATAAACAAAACAAGAGGCTATGGTCAAGTGCTCAACACAATCAAAATTTAGTGCACACAGATGAGAAAAGGGAAAAGAGAACAAATAAGTAAGGTAGAGGTAGATAAGGCAGGTGTAGTCAAACACAAAGGCCCCAAAGGTTCCCCTAACCTCCTCCACAGCCGGGCTGTGGCCATCTCTGAATCACTGGTGATTAACAGGACCAACTCACATGGAGTGGGAGAGGTACCAGAAAGCCAGTGATGAGCAAACAGGGCACTAGTCTTGCACTAGCAGATGCTTTTGACACTGACTTGCGTGTGTCTCCCTAAGAAAATGAGGGAATTAAAGTCTAAAAAACATATTACCTCCAGGTGCTGTAAGCACAGTTAAAAGAGCAGAGGGGCCATCATTACTGACCTGGGGGGCAGGCAGCTGGAAAGGCAGATTGGGACAAGTTGGGCATGGTGATATGTGAAGAGATGCACTGAGAGAGCAACCAGAAACAGCAGGGACAGTGTGCAGCCAGAGCAGAGCCCCAGCTTTGCTCAGTACTGGGGCGACTGCTGCTGGTGAGGAACTTGCCCCTTAGGGCCTCATGTTTCAAGAAATATGTGATAGGAGAAGAGTCAGAAGAGAGCAGCAAGGAAGTCCCATGTCCAGGCAGACAATGTCACGAGTTTCATTTAGACTAGAAGAGGAGACGAGGGAGGATCTCAGTCACTGGAAGAGGACAGCATCACTTCTGGTCCTCAAGCCTGCTAAGGAAAGCTGGGACAGAACTGCAACTGCCTCAGTCTGCAGCTGACTTTAGGAAAGCCTCCCCAGCTCTGCTGAGAGTTTACCCTGAGGACAGATCCCTGCTAGCTGGCAGAAGCAGGCTGTGTTTGTGACCCTGAGTCACAGAGGAGCCATGCTCTCTGCACCTCTTTCAAGAGTGGCTGCCAGACACATGGGACCCTGTGCTTCGCAGCACTAAAGGGATCACAGCAGCCCTTCTGCCTCCACCACGCAGCAGGGTAAGACAGAAGGAAACCACAGGCAGAAAGAAATTAAAGAAACTGCCAACACCACGATCCCATGCAAGTGTAGAGAAAACCACATGGCATTATGCAACATCTGTCCGGGAAGTGACACTCATCATTGATAAAAATTATGCAAAGGGGTCCCGTGACTAAAGGTTACAAGGAAAACACAGATCAGCCGTCAGTCTCACTTTGCAGTGAGCTGTCACTGACTCTTGCATATATTGCTTTATAAGAGTAACTCAGCATTCAAAGTGGAATTCCTAAACCAATCCCTACAGCTACTTTTTAAATTAAAATTCCTGAATGTCTCTTCACCCTCAGAAGATCCTGTGTTATGCCCAGCAAAGATCCACATCCCAGGACAGAGATTTTTCTATGGTCCTGGATCAAAGATAGACCTGTTCTCCCCCCAACTTGAGCGACTTCTACAATAAAATGAAAGGGAAGAGAATGGTAAGAGCAAAAATAATCTCTCCTCAGGCAGGAGGTTTCAGCACATCTGTTTGTGCATGCATTACAGAAAAACACATGGGGATTAGTCAGGTCCAACAAAATCAGGGTGACTTGGCACTGCAGGCTTATGTGCCGGACACCCTCCAGCCACCCAGCACAGCTCTCCCAAACCACAGGGACACTGGTTACCCTCAGCTCTGGATCTGAGAGCTTAGAGACCACTCCAGGGGATATGTTTCACCCAGAGACGGCTGCAGCCTCAGCTTCTCTCACCCTTTTCTGGACTCCCCATGTTGACTACAAGTCCCCAGCCTCAGGCACCCTTTTTTCCTTAAGGCAAGCAGATACATT